CCCCAGAGGCATGGTAGTTGCCACCACACCCCTCGGCAACGAGGACCACACATCTTTGGGAGGGCTCATAAGGGAGGCGGAGTAGATAGTGCAAAACTTAAAATGCTTCATAACTATTTTGTATTAAGCGTTTAGCAAATTCTGATTGCAGTTTCGGAATCCCCGTCACCGACTCTATCAGACCCATATTTTTGCTAAGCGGTTTGCTGGGTTTTCTATTTGCACTTCCCTAGTAAGTCCAAAATTTCCAGGCGAAAAATTTCGCAAGGAATACTGCGCTAACATGAAGGTTTGTAGTAAAAATATGTAGCTTGCCGGCTTTTAGTGATTCTGAGATTTGATCCTTTCTAAGTCATAGTCATTGAGTCCGCAAGGATCTTTGCTAGCCTGCCACCTTAAAAATCATACTTCGGCTGATTGCCACCGATTTCGCAAAAGAGAGCCCATTTTTTTAAGAATTAGAAAATTTATGATCTCCCTTAATTAGCCGTCACTTCCGCCCAAATACTCTTACACTTCCGACCCGCTCCGGATAATTGATAGGGACCGCTTTCCCTTCCGGCTGTTTTCCGGTAGCAGTGGTGAAAACTCACCGGTGACTCATCTGTCCCGGCCACGGCCGATTTCATTAGCCACCGGCGGGCGGCCCATGTTTTTTGGACTCCTTATCACACACATGGCCGGCACTCCACTGTTTTTAGGTGCCGCCCGTAGTCTTAGGGCATTTTATTGGTTCCGTTAGTTATAGACGCTTTATTGTTGCATTAAAAACTCAGGAGAAGCTAATTATTCTCTTTATTACATAGATTTCACTTGTTTTTTTTCTCGTCTTCGCTTCATTAATATAAATTTTTTTCTAAGAATTCCGTTTTTAATAATTTTTACTAATTTTCGGTTTTCTATATTTTACTTAGGACTACCTAGAAAATTAATTAAAAAACGTGAAAATATTTTGCCGACCTTTCTTCGAACGTCACATGATCCCAACGGCTTTCTGCAAGCCAGCCCCCCGGCTCTCGAGCCAAAACTGCGTCATTTTCTCGCATTTTTCGCCTGAAAAACCCAAAAAACATATCTAGAAGGAGTAAACAAGAATGTTGAGGAATTTTTGGAAAAATTCCAAGGGCTGGGCACTTTTCTGAATACTAAAATCTTTTCTTTCCTTTTCATCATGAAAGTTTCGAATTAGCAATTTCGACAATTATTAAGAGCTTTTGTTTCAACATTAACTTTTTCTTAGTAGTAAAATGCTCCGTTATCACGATTAAATCGATACCTAAATCTTGATTTTCAAAAATCGTTACATTCCCTTAACAAAACTCGAACCAGATGTTGTTTTTGACATCTATTCTTTTCGCAGCAGCCAAACCACATACCGCCCCCCTGCGAAAAGGGGACAAAAAGAACCGGCTGTTTTCTCATAGCATTTGAATGGAAAAGGGGGGTTAGAAATTGGATCATACCACGACTCTAGTGGTTCAAATTTCGAATTACGTGTCGTAATCGGTTGTGTTTGGACTGTTTGTCCATGAAAATGGCAATTTATTACATAAATTTTCTCAAATTCTATGTATTTAGTTGTTTGAAGGATCTTTTTAATCTCATTTTTGAAGGATCATGGTTTCGAATTACTTGTCGTAATTTGTCTGTTTTTCGTCTTTTTAGCGTAATGTTAGTGCTTGACCTATTTTGCTTGGCCTACATTTCGTTCCATTATTTCCTATATTGTGTCCCGTCTCTCCCACTTTGGTCATGACCAAATTGGGGCTGCAAAAAACGGCGTGAATCGGCAAACTGTTTATATTTTTGGTCACCATTCGGCGCCGGCAATCAGCCCGCCTGAATTGCCAAATTTAATAGCGGCGATGGGCATTGATTAGAAAAAGTGACTTTGTAAAAACTGTATTTTTTTCAAATTTTTTTACACCTTTAATGGTCCTCTAAAGCGTAGTCAAAGCTTAAAAACGACGACAATCTAAGGAAATTGACTTGCCAACCCCCCTTTAAATTACATTTCTCATTAACTCGCATCTCATAAATCCCACGAATTAGCAATTTTCACTCTCGCGCGCGCCGCGCAAATCCTGGCGCTCAAATTGTCGTGCTCGCATTGATATCAGCTGCGATTTCGACAAGAGGAAGAAGAGGGGGGATGATGTGAAGATCTCTCCTTCTCTCTTTCTTTTTCACTATCTCCTTCACTACTGATCTCATGCTCACCTCCTCATCCTCGCCCTTCCTTCCGGAGTCGATCTCATGCTCAGCGCTTCTCTTTCTATATCGTGCGCTCTCTCTCACCCTCTCTCTCTCTCGCGTTCTCTGTCTCTCTCTCTTCCTTCTGTACGTGCGCGAGGCGGAGGAGGAGGCAAAATGAAGATCCGACCTGTTTAGAGGGTCGGATGGGCGGCCACCGCCGGGATCAGTCCGACTCCACGATGCCCTTGCGGACCGATGCCGACTTTATCGGCGGCCCCGACACACAGGAGCTGCAGGTTCGTGCTCAGGATCAACATGCAGATTCTTTGTAGACCTTAATACATTCAAAATATACAAATCATTTTTATAACAATTTACAAAAAAAAACGTTGAAGTTGGATCTCTCGAGTTCTCGAGTGATATAAAAATGTCAATTAGCCTTGATTTTTGAAAATTGCTGAACGAAACTTATTCTCCTTATCTTGCTCAGTCAAATTTACTTTTTATAAATTATGAAAAATCAGCTTTTTAACGTTAATTCTGACTTGAGCGGCAGCTTATTTTCGAAAGTCAGATGCTGCTTCTCCTTTTATTTTCTAGATTATCGTTTAGCTTTCCTCATGCTCCTTATTTTGGCCCGTATTCTCAAAAATATGGGTCTTCTCCAGCATTTTTTCGGTATTGAACCGCCGCGTAATGAATATTATATGGCGCTCTGGTTCCCGCTCCTCATCCCTTCATATTCATTCGACGGCATTTCTTAGAGTTGGTTCCGCATTGCTACTATTAAAAATAAAAATTAGTGTTGCAAGATTTATATATTAATATCGCGTATGAAAAAGCAGCAACCTGTGCAACTTTCTAAAAATTGAGAGGTTTTCGATTTTGGCGTTTTTAAAATCGTTTAAAGTTGCAAAAAAACGGACGAAAAGTTTTTGTATTAGCTATTGCTTTTTTAGAGCAAAAAGCCGATTCTTAATTTCTACTATAACAATTGCTTAGCAAATTCAAACTCAAAATTCGTCAAAAAATAGAAAATTAATAAACGAAAATTTCTTGATTTTTAAAATTCTTTTTAACCTTCTGAAATTCTTTTTGAAAATAACAGCAAAGCGTAGCGTAAAGAGTGCAGCAGCGCATAGACTTCGAAGGCACAGAAATAAATCCCTATGCCTTTGGAAAGTGCATAGTAGGGCGCAGATACACGAGTTGTTTACCATCCCGTCCCCCAAGGGGCCGGACCCTCCCGGCGTCCCGCCCCATATGAGGAAATCGCCGTGTTGTTGATGAAAAATGTGATACTTTATTGTTATAACATTTCTGATATTATCCAAATCACGTACTGCATAGCAATAAAAAAAGTAATTTTCTATTGTTGTTTTTATTTACTTAATTCTAGATGGAATTAATATTAAACATTGTTTTTGGCTAAATGAGTGATGCCTTAAGCGGTACGTAACCGATTCATCATTCTATCCTTCTTAAAAATGATTCTATTAAATACTACATCTATAATTGGTTTTAATCCTGTTTTTTATTTTGTGAATACCCACTTAATTCCAGGTCCGCGCCAGCTCATCGGAGGCGTCGATGGTAGCGGTGAACGGGGGTGGCATTTCCATTACGATAGACCCCAGCGATCCGGAGCATAGGATGGAGAAACAAGTCAGCTTTCTCTCTCTCACTCTCTCTCTCTCTCTCGCTCTCTCGCACTCTTTCTATCATTCCAAAAATGAGTTACTAGCTTTTAAAAATCACAAGCCCAAAAATGCTGCCTCCCACGAATAAATTCCAAAATGCAATATCGATGCCCTGGCCTGACCACCCTCCCCACCCGATATTATTTTCACCGCCTCTCATAGTGGCCATATTTTATTGGCCATTCCAATGTTACCGTTCGATGCGCGGGCGTGATCCTCCAATTTTCAGGGTTTGGTTTTGGTCATTTTTCTGCTCAAATAATTATAGTCAAAAAGTTTTATCAAGCTACATCTGTTTTGGGCTTTTTACTGTAGTTTTCTAGAATTTTTAACGTTATTTCGATACCTCCTTATGAATGCTTTATCGTGATTAGGGGATTTGATGAGAATTGCGCCATCTCCCCATCTCTCACTCTCTCTCGCTCTCTCTTGCCCTCTCTCTAACGCACTCACTCGCTCTCCCTCTCTCTCGCTCGAAATCCCCAAGAGATGCTCGAAAATAGCTTTCAAAATCGAGAATCTGTTCTACCAATCTCGGAAAATACCTTGACGCTCCCTTGAAAATAGTGAAATATCCTTCAAAATTATTTTGTGGAATGGAGCGTCAAATTCTGAAGGTATTTATTATTCCAAAAAATCCGGATTTAACTATACTTGGAAGACCCTTTACTGTAAATTCAGAAATTTCAGATGGAAGGCGGGCAGTCGGAAGGGCTGAAGACCGTCATCGCATTTTTGTGTTTAACGGTAAGCGTTAGAAATCTATGTAAACCTATTTTTATTTAGTTTTGTAAACCTTAGCGCAAATCCCGACTTTAATACGTATGTTTTCAGTTAGCCGCCTTCATGAACTTCTTCCTGTTGACGGTGATACACGATATAGTGCCCAGGGAACCGTTGCCGGATATTGTATTCCTTGCAATACCACAGCAACGGTGGGCCTGGTCTTTTGGGGATGTGCTGTCGACAGTAAGGTATGTAATTTCGGGTTTTAAGGTATAGAATTTTGGGAAAAGCTGTAAATTACTGCAAAATACTGTACAAGCTTGTTCTCTACAATATTTTAATAAGATGCCTTAGAAATTATATTTTTTTAGCTCTGTGATGGCCTTCACCGTAGTGTTGCTGCATCGAGATCGAGTCGTCGTTCTCCGACGAATGTTCGTGCTCGGAGCAATATTGTACGGGCTGCGAGCGGTGATTCTCGGCGTCACGTACTTGCCACCGTCTTTCCATAATAGGTATGGGTTTGTAGGTATCTCATTCCCCCTCTCACTCACTCGCCCCTCTCCTTCACATCTCTCTTCTCTCTCTCACTCTCTCTCTCTGCCTGCCGCCCTCTTGCTCACCCACGGTCTACTTTTTCCTTTCAGGGACCAAATCTGCCAACCGCAAGTGAATCGAACAGCGTTGAGCGGTATGGAAATTGCCACGAGGTATGAATTTTATAGCTAGAAAACCAATCTCCATTTTTTTCCAGATTTCTGACCTACGTGGTGACGCTCGGGCTCACCTCCGGGCAGGACAAGATCCTCTGCGGGGATCTGATGTTCAGCGGGCATACCGTGGTGCTGACGATTATGTACTTTGTGCAGCTACAGTATACCCCTCGGGGACTCGTCATTCTGAGGTACGTATCGTCAATCAATGAATGTTGAACGTCTAGAAGTCGGCGTTAGAGCCTAACTGCTTCCTAAGCCTCCTCGAACCCTAAAAAGAAAAATTTTAGGTATATCGCGGCTCCCATCACATTCTTGGGGATTGCCGCCCTGGTGGTGTCAGGTATGTAATTGACTCAGTTTTTTATACCAGTACTAAGTTGAATTATTGTTTTGAGGTCTAGGTATCGTTTCCTAGTAGATGCTCATCCATTTCTAGGCGGTCACTACACGATGGACGTGTTGATAGCGTACTGGTTGACGTCGCACGTCTTCTGGGGCTACCACCAGATGTTCGAGCTGCCCAAGGAGAAGCGCCCGCATGCGCCGATGAGCCGGTTATGGTACGGTTTATTAGGATTTTCTAGGGCTTAGACTTAGGCAAGGCTTGGGCTTAGGCTTAGGCTTCTTAGGCTTAGATTAGGCTTAGATTAGCTTAGATTAGGCTGCTTCGGCTTAGTTTTAGGCTTAGGCTTAGGTTTAGGCTTAGGCTTAAGCTTAGGTTTAGGCTTCCCACTCCTGTAAAGTCGTCGACAAAAACCTAAAATCCTAATTTCAGGTGGTTCTGGATGTGCAACTGGCTAGAAAGTGACGTCCCGGATGGTCCCCTAGAAAACGTGTGGGACTGGCCGTTCCCCGGGCCCCAGGTCGCCAAGAAGTTCATGGAACGCCTGAACCACAGACTTCAATAGCCCCTAAACGGTTTAAAGAGACAGTGGCGTTAAGGAACTATATTTTTTTAGCTTACGCTCCCTTTAAAAGCCCAATAATGTTATCGTTACAACTTTAACTAAAGACGGGTCAAAAAAATACTTGTTCCACATCGTTCCCTCCCCCTATTAAAATTGGCTTTCCCCGTTACCGTATGGCAATAATTATTGCTTTCCCTAATGGTCTCACCTTGTACTTTATCGATTTTTTAGATTTCTGGCGTCTTGCCAATTTTTTGCGCTATCGAATTTTGGTTCCATTTTTGAAATTCCGCGATGCTGGTCGATTTATACTTACGATGTTTTGTAATCTGCGTGCTATATCTCAGTTTTTTGGTACTGTATTTTGGTGGGTTTGAGCTTGTTGAAAAGAAAAATGAGAAAAATTGGCATAAAAATGTCAAAAGTGAAAAATTTTAAGATTTTCTAAACATTTCAAATTAAAAAAAAATTTTGCTGCCTTTTTCAGAAAAAGTTTCATTTTTATGTATTTTTCAAGAGCAACGTAGTGAATTGCAAAGTAATTGTTTTTCAAAAACTTTTGGGCCTTTTTTGATAAAAAAATATAGAAAGTCTTAAGCAAAATAATCTTCTATTTTCAATACCAAAAACCTGCCTATTTCTATCATATCCGTGCTTTATTCGTTCTATTTTCCCTCCTCCCCCTTTCAAGTTCCAATTTTTTGTCTGATTGTATTTGGTACGGTTCGCAAAATGTCCCCGGTGCCCCCATTTCCCTTAATTTCCAAGGTTCCAACGAAATACTGAACACAACACCTCACCACAATTATGCTATTGCCATTGTATCCAAAATTGCACATCGAATTCCCGAATTGTTGCCCCCGTTTCCGCCCATTTTTCTGTAAATATGCCTTACCCCATGCACTCTCGGTGACACGGCTGTTGGCTAGTAAATTTATGTATTAATGGAGGTATTTACACAACAATTAGTTGACCTAGGAATACGTAAATACCAAGGAAGAGACGAACAACATTTCAATTTTCGGAATCCACTAGCCGTTACAAGCCTTTCACGTGACTTTTGAGGCTTGAAACTATTTTTAATGCCTGAAAAACGAAATTTGCATTCCTACAGATCCAAAATGCCGAAATTCGAAATTCCGACGGCAACAACCTATTATGCAAAATGCCAAAATGCTAAAAATCGTCAAGTTATTAAAATATCGCGACTCAAAATCCCGATAGCCAAATCTCGGTGTCCAAAATCCCGATGGCGCAAAATGCTTTGTCTAAAATTTTGACGTTGCAGAATGTCGATTCATCGTATTTTTTGGATTTCCGATTTTGGGAAATTTTGGTCACACCATCGCACGTAAATCTATTTTATTTGGGAAAAACTTTGAACATTTTACAGCGCTAAAGGCAAATTTTTTATGCCAAAACCAGATCGATGCTGCTAGTATTGTTAATCTTCTTGTTTCCGGTGTTCCTGACCATCGACGTGGCAGGTGGTTCGCTAATTTCGAGCAATTAATTCTTTCCTAACGATTTTTTCCGGAAAAGGAGAAAAATCAAACGGCTGTTTTTAGAAGATCCAGTACAACTTGTCGACCGAGATCCACAAAATAAAGTCCAGGCTGATCTGAAAGCAGCAGATGCTAGTTTAAACTTGGTCAGCAACATTTCCAAAAGACAAAAATTTAGCCTGCCATTGCCGATGCAGAATTTGCTGAATACACAGCATACCTAGACGCGTACATAATGGCCAATCCGCTACACTATAGGGCATAGTAAGAACTGCACCACGGCCGACCATAACCCAATAATGGGATTGGCGCTGCAGCAACGATTTGAGGCGCAAAAGGAAATCAGGTAATTTTGGGAAGCTAAACAGTTTTAAAGGGCTAGGAAGTCAGAGTCATATAACCGTTTGAAAAGGCCGAGGCCGTCGGCCAAAATTAAATGGGTACTGCTTCAATACACCGCCAAAGTGATTCGCTGCGAAAAACATGCATTGATCAAAAACGGAATCTTTTCAGACAAAATCGATTGTTTATAGAGATTTTCCATCGACTTTTTTCCATATATTGCTGGGCGTATGAATTTTTACGTGTTTTCACGTGCAGCCTAGCCCAGGGACGTGCTGCGGCGTTGGTTGGATATTTGCAATGAATCAGCAGGCTTATGAAAGGACCTCGAAGACATGAAAAAACACATTTTCAGGGTTCGCCGCATCGCGCATGTGCTCAACACCTTTTACCCCGACGACTTAAACAGGAAGGCTCGGACTGCGACATTTTGCGCCCCGGGCCACGAGTGTCGCACGTATCGCGTCGGATGCCTCGTGGTGATGTTTTGGTGGGGCGAGCTGGGAAAAAGTCCTTCGCGCTTACCCTCGGAGATCAACAACTGGGTCGAGAAGACGCAAGACGGAAACGGACTGTTTGACAAGTTTCATGAGAAAAACTTTGCGCGGTAAGGAGGGTCGTGATGGTAGATCTACAGGACGTCTTTGTTCTTTTACGATTTATCCAAAGTTACCCGTCGTTTTCCAGACCTGTCAACAACGGGCCATTTGAAAAGGACATGGATATGGGCATTGCCGAAGACTTCATGCCGGCCTACATCGTGGTTAATCATTTGGGAATATGATGTTTTGGGCGTTTTTGAGGGATGAAATCTTTGTGCCTTCTTTTTTTGCACTTCACTGCATTTTCGTGCTAATCAAATAACCCACCTTTTCTGAGATTTGCTACTGTCTTACTGACCTAACAGATCTCGAAAATCAGAATCCCGAATTTTCATGGTCTTGAATTGTCAGGATATCGAGTTTCAGAATCTCGAAATTTGTATATGCTGGACGCAGGGCGTGGGCGTGCAATCCATGACGCTCTTATGTTGATTCAGACTATGGAAGTTGCGAGATTCTGAAAATTCTAGGTTCCGAAGTTTCGAGATTTTTATCTTCGACGTCCTGACCTTTGATATCACTAAAATTCGAATTTTATGTTTTTTCTCAGAGCGCCATCCGGGTGGACAAGGCCGAGATGCCATGCCATCAGCAGGGAATATCAGCCCCGCAAGTTGGCGGTCACGTCCGCAAGCTGGAGTGGCTTGACACACGCAAAAGGGGCTCTATGGAGTCGACGTGGTGCATCAATTTTCTTTTGTTCTTTTGAGCGTTATTGGGGTTTAATTCGATAAATGCTTGCTAGCGGTGAGATGTTTACGCCTTTTTTTTCTACTTTTCCGTTTTTTATTACGTAGGAGTAATTCCGCAAAAATTATGTGTCTTGACAGACAGCCAAATTTATTCCACGCGGGGTTCAAAAGCAGAGTCGTTGTTTTTCCGTGACCGACGACAAATTTGTTCGCATTTGGAATGAGCCGCCTCTTTCACTTCTTCCTGTTTCATCTCATCTACTTACTAGTAGCTGCCGAGGCTCCGTCGATGCGTAACGTTACGGTCTGTTCTTTGCAAAATATAGGAAAACATTAAGACAACCAAAAATCAAAAAACACTAACCGATTTATTAAGCTTGTCGCAGTAGTTTTTAGAACAAATAATCAGCGTTTTAAAGCCATCCTTTTTGCTGGGATTGAAACCGTTTTTCGTTTAGCTACGCGGTGATGGATGGATCTGCGTCGATGGGCAGCGTCCAGTAAGTGGGATCAAATTTTCAAATTTCTCGAAAGATCAGCGTCACGCTCGTGGCGAAGGACTCAAGCTCACAGGAAGCTGAGGTGCCGCTGCCGTGCTTATGCAAGTATTTGTTTCGCTGAACTTTTAGGACGGCTCGAGTGGTAGCTTAAATGACTTTCAAAAATTTCGATCTATTTAATTTTTATTGTATTTATTTATTTTTAATTCAAGTTTTTAGACGACTGCAAGTTCACATTCTTTCTCCATGCCAACCGGGTGATACACATTTACGTCTACTTTCAGTGTCCAGGTGGCCAGGTAAACACGAGGTCTACTTTTCAATATTTATCAGGTTATGCCAAGAGGGTACTGCTGGACGACCTTATTTCCTGATCCCAAGGACGGGGAACGACCCGACCCTTACGAGTGAGGTATTTTCTGAAAAATTTTTGTAAAATGTAAAACTTGTAAAATTCGTAACAAAAACCACCTTCTCCAGAGTAATGTTATTTGGGATGGTTGGCGCATCGGTCGCGGAAATGCATGGAAAGCCGATCCTCTATGCGGCAAGGAAGCGGGTGGCCGATCGGATCGTTTACGGGGAAGCTATGTTGGCTTGACGCTACGTTGGCTTTTTATATTAATTTAGCCAACTCGGCAACTGCGCCATCTGAAAGACATCGGCGCCGACTTTAGAGATTTTTTCAGAAATTTTTCAATTCCTTGAATAAACACTTGTGTTTCAAGTAACAGTTATAAATACTCCCGGACTTCAATTTCGAGCTTTCGTACTTTTTCAATCATTTCTTAACCTCGGTTTTAGCAAAAGCTCCCTCTTCAGCGAAAACTAAAAGTCTCTAATTCAAAAAATTTTAACGGCTGCAAGTTCGACTCGGAAGCTGCGCCATCTAATGACATCTTCATTAATTAGCTTATTACCAGGTTTAAAAGGCGGATTTGCGCCTTTTCAAACCTGGTGCCGTCGGATCCCATGATATTCGAGGCTTTGCATAATTCTCTCCAGACGCCTGGATTTGGCTATATAATTTATGCGACTCTCGGATAATTCATGTCCGGGAAATTCCATCCCCAAAGCCGTCAAGGTTTTTAACATGGGTACATGCAAATCAGCGGTGTGTTCATACAAAAAACCCCCCTCTTCGGCACGGTATTTCCGCGCGTTCTGAACGACAAAATGATTTTTCTCCCGGAACGCGTTCTGCTACTATTTGGGATATCTACGTTGATTCTCCCAATCGCCGTGTCGGACAATGAACCTCCAGGTTCATTCAAAAATTAAGAATAACGTGATTTGCCCCTTGTATGGCGACATAGAGAACTTTCAATAAAATAAAACCCTCACTTGTCTCTTTGCGAAGGTTTAAAACATTGAGTTGAAAAATGCAGTTCAAAAATATAATTTGCATAATACCTTTTATAACTTGCGGTTTATTGAGGAGGTATTTCTATAATTTGTTGCTTTTTAGAAAATGGCGTGAACGCCGAGGTACGGGGTGTCCTGGCCGATCTGGGTAAGCTGAGTTTACCCACTGACACTGTTGAATGACAATTGTTTTGCAAGGCATCGAATAATGATATTTCTCCGGCCGGGCTTGTATAAATGAATTAATTTAGTTATGGGAGGCTTTACACCCGCCTGAAGTCGTAAAGTCGGGACGGATCACGATAGAGGAAGTATGTTTCAAGCAAAGCTTTTGAGTCGAAGAAAGTAGCCAAGTTCAAAAATATTTGAGGTGGAACAGTCAAAACATTGGTTGCGGGTCAACGATAGTTTAGCCAGCGAATTTTATAGTGGAGAGGCATCCGACGCGAAAGACGGTTGTTTGACGCCGCGTTTAAAAAATGGGTCGACGACCATCCAGGGGACAGACTTGATTGGGGCCAGACAATACACATGCAGAAGATAGTGAACGTCCGGGATATGGTGCAAGCAAAATTTTTCGATGAAAGCGCCCTGGTCCCGAGGTAAAATCCTATTAGGTTGGAATTAAGGTTCGTACAATCGACCTTCGGAAATCACTTTCCAAAAATTTAGTGGGCAGATACATGTGTTCTTTCCATATATCTATTGGATACATGAGTAGGTGGCATGGAAATTTCAGATTTTTAGCCCTAATGAGCCCCAGCGGTTGTTAAGATTTTTGCTATTCCATCGCATCAGGAATTTTTGAGCCCGGACATCTTTCCGAGCCGCCATAAAGTTATCATAGGAACTGATCATTATGAAAAGAAAACATTATATTTACTGACAGCATACCTAATTTACTAGAAGACATCTTGCCATCTTCGCTTAAATCCAGCTCTAAAAAATTCTACTCGGAAAGCAGCAGAGAGCATTCTATGGCACATCCGTTCATTGAAAAACATTTTGTTTCTGACCCGTTTTCAGGTCCTAATATTAGAACGAATGAAAAAAAGTTGATCGAACTTTAGTTCGAATCTAATATTTCTTGTGCAGGCGCGGTCGGCGAGTACACCGACGTTTACCTACTTTTTTAAACTGTTTCATTGGTCACACATTTTGTTTTCAGGATGCGCCGCTACGCGCACGTCTTTGACGGATATCATGGGGACTTGAAGTGGGGGTACAAATGCCTCGAGGTAAATTTTTCCAACGCCGCTTTCCAATCTCTTGTCAAAATTTTGGCTGCGATGACTTACAGACCAAACGAGTGTCTTTAAGGGCTTATGCTAAAAATGGGCATTTAAGCCGGAGCTCTGCGAGATCATGAACTACCGGTACTTCTCCGTCCTCTTCGCCTGGTTGCCGCGTGACCCCATCGTTAACCTCACCCTGGTCGAGCAGCGGGTTACTGATTATAAATCGAAAGCCAGGGCGCGTCTCGCCTCGAAGACTGGCAGGTGGGTGGATGGCAGCTGGTAAAAATTTCTTGTTGGGCCTTGGCCGCGCCAACTACTAATTGAATCGGTATTGCCACTGTTACCTTCTACGGACGCGCTTTCTTTGTGCAAAAACCATCGTAAGCCCGACACAGGCCCGGAACAAACCCGAAATTTCGGGGGGAGGGGGGTGGCAAAAAATTTTTGACGACGTCTCCCCTCCCACGCCGACACTTTTGTGAAATGGCCGGGAAACGTTCTAAAAACTCGGAAATAGCGCCGCGTCCTTCCATTTTTGAAAAATAGGCAAAAGAAAACCCTAGAATTGAAAAAATCGCAGCAAAAAAGAACTTTTGAAACAAAAAAAGCGCCGTCGTAGAAAAATTTCGTGAAAAATCATAAGGAGCTCGCCCCCTCCGCCCCCCCCGTCTCTTACAGGCCTGGCCCGACATAATCAAAAACTTACTAAATTTCAAGTCGGGTTCAACCGAAATTGTTTATCAAATTTACGAAAACATCGATCCGGTTTTCCAGCGACGTGGTTGAGAACTGGCACTTCAACATTGACATCGTCGACGAGTTCTTGCCAATCTACTTTGGGGTAACTACTTTATTTGAATATTATATACCTGATCCGCAAGAAGCAGTGTCACCCAAGGAGGGGTTGTCAAGGAAATAATCGGCGTTATTTATGTGATTGAATGCAAGCTTTTTTGACCTTTGCGATATCCGTAGGCTCTCTGAGGCGCTACAACGGTCGTTTCCGTTGTCACTTCATCTACGCGAATTTGGGTAAAAAGGCTTCATCATTCAGATCTCATCTTTAACCCTCATAAAATCTCATTAAATCATCAGACTTCATCTTTAACCCTTTGACCAATTCGCGTCTGGCTGGCGCTTCTGATTGTCCGAAGTTCGTTTTTGTTTGCATTCAAATTGCTTTACGACTTTGCGGGTTCGCCAGATTCAAGATCTCCAAGCAATTTGTGGAACACGTTCTCCAACGATGAGACTTAACGCCTAAATGGACGTCATTTTGTCTTTATCCGAAAGATTCCAGATGACTTGGGAGATGTCGGAGTCCGCGGGCATTCGACACCCCCTGGATCATCATGGAAATACGGCGATTGACGTCGGCGGTCACAAAGCGCTAAACTATTACGTTCAGGATCAGAGTTGTTACGAGCATTTCGCCTTTTTTAAAAATACGGACATTTGCCAGTATGAACACTACGATGCACTGCTTTTTTGAACAATAAACGCTTGGTGCAGAGCAAGCAATATGGATTTTTGGGAATGCCAGAAAATAGGACACTTCCAAAATGGCCATTATCAAAATCGCTTGTCACGAAAGCGTCCATAAATGTCTTAATGTGTGTCGACTAGTCTATTTCTTCTATAAACAAATATATACGATTCTAATCTAAAAAAATTCTCTACAAGATAGTCGTTTCAAAATCAAAGGATCTACTAAAACTACAATGTGGGCCCCGTGGCAAATAACTTTGTGCGGGCCCAAATATCACCTTAACATAGTTATAGCTTTTTAAATTGGAAAGCGGATTCGGAAACTAGCATTCCGCACAGGAAGTGCTCAGAGTCCCATTCATCAACACCATTTCTTAAGCTTACAAGGTGCCCTTGCAGAGATATGAGCAGAAGAAATGCCTTGGGGTTAGACTTCGGAGGCTTAGAAGAGGTTCCCGGTAGAAATCTACAGATATTCGTAGATTTTTCAAATCTCGGCGCCAAAGCGTTTACAGGTTACGTACCGGGTGCCCCAATAAAAAAAACACTCCCCTCTAACTCGACGTAGAAGGGCGCAATCAGTATGGAAGTTACACCATTCTTAAACCCCTTGAAACGACGAGTTTGCAACAATCTTCAAAACCAAGTTTTTAATTAAATCCGTCATTTTACAACGCATTTAAAAACATTAAGGAACGACTTCTGCATCTAATTAACGGCTTCTTCCGATCATTTTGTACCAGCCGATTACAGCCGCGTCGCGGCTGTAATCGGCTGGCCTTCGGGCTACCTTCCATATTCTACACCACCACATTCCTTCTCTAACTTTATCAATATCCGTGCTGATGGCTCCAAATGCGCCCCATAGCCGAAATCCCCTTCAAAAACTACTTTGATACGTTCCTGATGGCTTCAGATACCCCCCATGGCTGAAATCCCCTTCAAAAACTACCTAAATACCTTCCTGGTGGCTTCAGAATTACCCCCATGGCTGAAATCCCTTCCAAAAAACTGCTTAGACACGTTCTGTGGCTTCAGATACCCCCCATAGCTGAAATCCCCTTCAAAAACTACTTAGATACGTTCCTGATGGCTTCAGATACCCCCCATAGCTGAAATCCCCTTAAAAAACTACCAAAATACCTTCCTGGTGGCTTCAGATACCCGCCATAGCTGAAATCCCCTTGAAAAACTACCAAAATACCTTCCTGGTGGCTTCAGATACCCCCCATGGCTGAAATCCCCTTCAAAAACTACCTAAATACCTTCCCGTGGCTTCAGATACCCCCATGGCTGAAATCCCTTCAAAAACTGCTTAGATACGTTACTAGTGGCTTCAGATTACCCCCATGGCTGAAATCCCCTTCAAAAACTACTTAGATTACGTTCCTGATAGCTTCAGATTGCCCCCATAGCTGAAATCCCCATAAAAACTACCAAAATACCTTCCTGGTGGTTTCAGATACCCCCATGCTGAAATCCCCTTCAAAAACTACCTAAATACCTTCCTGATGGCTTTAGATACTTAATGATCAAATGAATTAACATAATAAAGTATTAGGGTTAACTCCTTCGAAGGCATCTGGGCGCGAGGAAGGACCTTGGAGAAGAGAGGCGAAGAAAGGGGCGTGGCCTGCCAGGAGAGGGGCCCCCACTCGTTTTATTAAGGCGCCACTTTCAAAGTTAATTATTTTTATTTAAACAAAAATTTTTTTCACTTAATGTTTGCTGATCGTACCAGGGTTTCTGACCACGCTCTATCCGAATCCGAAAAGAGACCTAAGCTCTACCTCGCTCGCCGCTTCGAGTTATAGTTGGCTTCAGACGGACGGACGGACGGACAGACACCACCAGCAAAAGTAATATAGTTGATGGCGAAAATTCGGTGACCGAAAGCTCAACTCTTGACCTAGAAAAACGGAAAAATTTACCAAAAATGGCTGCTATAAATAAGAGAATTTCGCGAAAAACATGGCTTTGAATATTGTTACATAAGCTTTGCCGTTTCAAAGGGCTTTTACAGGTCTTAACTATCATTTCCGATCAGATACTTCTGCGACAAGTTGGGGGCCGGGGGGGTTGTATTGGGACTAGTGTTGAGGACAGCTTTTGAGAGAACTGGGGTCCCTTTCCCCCACCCAGGGTGCTTTTATTTTCACCCGGGGTGCTCCACCACCAGGGTGCCCAGAGGGAGTGCCCAAAAAGCACCCAGGGTGGGCTCCCTTTACCCCGGCCAGAGAGGGGTGCACTAGAAGCACCCCGTCCCCCAGTGGGGTGCTCAAAGCACCCCAGCCCCCTTGGGGTGCTCAAAAAGCACCCCGGGGTGCTTTCGAAAGGCTTTAGGGTGCCTTTTGGGGTACTTCTGTGGGAGGGTGCTGTGCAGGGTGCTTTTTGCCAATGACCGCAATACGCCCTTAGGCTATTTTGATCGAATCATGAGATGAACATCATTTTCGAGCAGTTCACTTTCAGCTCAGCGCCAATTCGGTGCAACTCATTTGAGGTCGTTTGGGAGCATTTCTTCTGGGTTGTTGCGGACACGGCGGACGATTTCGAGACGTTTTTCTAACCGCGCTAGCAGGCACCTGGGCAAAACTGGTAAGAGCGCTACGAAACTCGTTGGGCAGATAGAACTTTTCGCGCTCTTTCGAATGGTGCCCTTCGCGATCCAGGATTCGCAGTGCAAATTGAGATATGATGGTTTAGTGCCGGAGACAACTTCGACAGGTACACCTTTCGACACTAAAACGCTCCCTCTCTGTCCCCCGACGATTTTTGGAGAACGGCAAATTATACCGTTGGAAAGAGCGCTCAAAATGCAACCTTCCTAAACCACTTAAAAAGCAATTCTAACCAAAGCTTCTTTAGGCCGCTAGCGCGGTTAAGAAAAAAACGTCTCGAAATCGTCCGCCGTGTTCAACAACCTCGAAGAAATACTACGAAACGACCTCCAAATGAGGTTACCGTCGAATTGGCGGCGCCGAGTTGTGCGAACTGCTCGAAATGATGTTCATCTCCTGATTCGATCAAAATAGCCTGGATGATATCATTGCGGTCATTGGCAAAGCACCCCAGACAGCACCCCACAGAGCACCCCAAAGGCCTCGGTCCTTCAGCACACGCAGATACTGGGCTGAAGATTCCTGACTTTGCGGGAGCAGGGAATAGCCCTCAGCACCTCGACTGAGTCGCTGCTACCGGGGTCCTTTTTGGGAACTGTTTTAAAGCACCCCGGGGTGCTTTTTTAAAAGCTTTACCCAGGGTGAAAATAAAGCAACCCAGGGTGGGACAAAAGCACCCGAGGGTGCTCTCTTCGGGGTGCTGTCCAACACTAATTGGGACACCCTGTATAGTTGGTACGCATAGGAAAACGGACAGAAGTTCGCGACAACAAGCATAAGAAAGGTCGAGAAACTAAAGTGTGGGTCTTTCAACTTGGGGGATAGTCATAGTTGGTGGGCGATTATCTGTCTTAAAAGTAAAAATATGTTATTCAGATTTGCCTGCAGAAAAAAGCCACAGGTTAGGCGTTTCCGAGACAAGATCTTTCGAATTGCATCCAATTTGTCGGCTACCCAGCGTCCTAAGTTTCCTTAATCCGATATGCAAAACCTTATTCTGAAAGTATCGTATCTCCGTGAGCCAGATTCCAGACGCGATTATCTATATCGCATCCAGGATTTTTTGATTCGTTATCTTGGTACACATAGGATAACGGGAGGGGCACCCAAACTTTTTTATGATAAAAGTATTTTTAAATATGCTTTTTTCGGGCTGTAAAAAACTCTTAGTATATTTTTCGGCCCTCTATCGAATGGCATTTTCAAAATATCGAAAATATTCAGAACGCCGAAAATTTGTTCCCCCCCCCCCGTTATCCAATGTGCTGTCCATAGTTTTTGTTGTGTCCTTGAAGTGTGTGAAGAGCTTGATGGAATGCAGTTGAAGTATCGAATAAACAAAAGATGTTTATTCGACAAGCAGCAGACGAGGATAAAAATTCGGAGTGATAAAATGGGCGATTTCCCGGGGAGAGCGGGGGGCCTTACGACACGAAATGGGGGGCGCCGTGGCGGGACCACAGGCTACGATCACAAGGGCACGCGATAGGGGGAGGCGACTAGAGTCTAGCCTTTCGCTCCACAACACCTCCCTCCTTTTAGGGAAGATTGAAAGTCGGCACATGACCAGACTGGAGGTGTGTGAGGAATGAAAAACCGAATGTGGGTACAGCATACAAATATCGTGAAAAGATCACACAGAGTTTACAAAGCAACGCGAAAATAAAAATGCTTCTTTCGTTCGTTTAGCTGAATTCTTGCGTAGACTGAACACGGGTACCATCACATCGGGGCACGCATCTTGCGCTGGGGATCGGGCAACTTGTCGGCATACGGCAACGGCAGCGGCGGCGATCCCTCCTTCTCTTCCTTGAAAGATCCTTGACACATCGGCGACTTGTCGGGCTTGCGGAGCTGATTGATGTAGCGCGTCCGTAGCAGTCCATTTTCCAACTTGACAGTGTAGAGGAATTTGGAGTCCTTGTGTAGAATTCTTGCGGGCATCCAGGTAGATTGGTCCCTGCGCCATTCCTTAGCGTAAACGTGTTCACCTGGTGAGAAACAACGTTTCCTGGCTGGGCGGCGACGGTGGGCAGTCCTCACGACCAGTGCGGCGGGGCTTGGGGCACGCAGCGAGCGCATTGGTGGCTTCATTTGTAGCTTGCGTCCCATGAATTCAAATTGCGGGTATTCATTCGACGGTTCGGGCTAGAGCAGTGCACGGAATGCATCCATTGCATCCGTGTTCTTCAGCCAGTCAAGGCCGAGAAGTGTGTGGCCATCGATGACGTGTCCAACACCGATCATCTCCTTCTTGTCGATGACGTACTTGCTCTCGAATGTCCCATGAACCTTGATGTCCCGTCCATTTGCGGCCTTCATCTTGAGTGAGGTTGGCTTGAGCGCGGGCTTGCCGATCTTGATCCAGTCCTTCTTGTCGAGGAGAGTTACGTCGGCGCCCGTGTCGACACGCATCTTCAGCGGGTGCCCGTCGATCGTCACATCATGGTATAAACGATCGATGTCGTGGTCCGAAAAATTTGAACCTACAAAAACGACATTTTCTTCCGCGGGCGGTTGAACTTGGACTGGGCATTCATTGTCCCAGTGTGCACCTTCACAATGTCGACATGGCCTTGTGCGCTTCTTGCGGCGGCTCATCGTAGATTGCGCGGTAGTCGGGCTTTTTGGAATTTGGGGCGGCCTTGTTGAAACGGCATGCACCTCCATTGGCAACTTGGTGTCCAGGTTGGCGTCCTTCTTTCTTGATACGAAGTGGCGAATGTCAGCGAAAACTTCGTCCAGCGTAGAGTCCGGCTTTTCCTCCATTTTGCGAAGGATCTGGCTTCGTGTCACTTCGTGTTCAGCACCGGGCAGCGAGAGCAGTAGAGAAAGGGCCTTCTGTTCGTGCTCCTTGATCTCGCGCATCTTCGCCTTCTCGTATGCGAACTTCAGTTGGTCCACGTGCTTGGCCAGTTCTTCCACGTCACCGCCCTGGAATTTCAATTTAGAAAATTCATAGCGAAGGGCAAAAAGTGACTTGGATGGCACGAAGATCCTCAGCAAAGTGTCCACGATCTCGGCGTATTTCAGCTCGTGCGCGGCCTTCGGCAGGATAAACTTCGTGAATCGCTCGTAGGCGGTGTCCTCCAATTTCTCGATCAGCATCCGGCTTCGGTCCTCTTCGGAAAACTCGGCACCGTCCTTCACGAAAACTTCGCCATACCGGGCATACCATAGCTCGAACGTTGAGCGGTCCTCGTCGAAGCAAAATTTCGGCACTCGGGCCAGAATTGAATCCCTCAGCGTTTGAAGACAAACCTTGTTTGCGGCTTCTCCATCGGCGGGCTCTTGCTTGACTTGACTCATCCACGCGGCCATTTGTTCGGTGATCAGCTTCATTTGCAGTTCGTGGGGCTGTTTGTCTTGCTCACGCTGCTCCCGGTGACGCTCCTCATCTTGGGCACGCTGCTCACGATGACGTTCTTCCATTGCGGTCAGAACGTTTTGCAGAACTTGTTCCATTTCGGCTTCTTCTTCCTTCAGTTTCGTGGACTTCGACCTTGTGACTGGGGCCAGCTTCTTGTTGTTGTCCCTTCTTGCGTAAGCGTCGAATCACCTGCTCGCCAATTGTTGTGTCCTTGAAGTGTGTGAAGAGCTTGATGGAATGCAGTTGAAGTATCGAATAAACAAAAGATGTTTATTCGACAAGCAGCAGACGAGGATAAAAATTCGGAGTGATAAAATGGGCGATTTCCCGGGGAGAGCGGGGGGCCTTACGACACGAAATGGGGGGCGCCGTGGCGGGACCACAGGCTACGATCACAAGGGCACGCGATAGGGGGAGGCGACTAGAGTCTAGCCTTTCGCTCCACAACAGTTTTCAAAAACAGTTTTTAGGCTATAAAACTTTTATAATACATTTTTTCGCGTTGTAAAAAAATCTCTTAGTATAATTTTTGATGTTCTATCGATTCGCGTTTTCAAAATATCGAAAATCTCAAAAATTTGGCTTTCCCCGCCCCCCGTTATTCTGTGTGTACCGTTATCTGGATCTGAACGTTAACTGTCCTAAACGTCGCATGTCCTAAAATTGCCAAAAAATAAAATGTATACGAGTACTGAATAAAATACAAATACTGAAATACCCAAAAAAAATTACAGCCCTAGCACGTCAAATTATGAGCCTTAAAACGACATCTTTTGCCAAATATCCCTTCTAAGTCAGGTCAAATTTAAAGCAGTGGCCTGGCAATAGTCATGTTTAAAATACCTATTGAGCCATCGTCATTTCAAAATTTCTACTCCACGTGGATCGCTCATGCTTCGGTTGAATCCTAGGTGCTGGCAAGACCTGCGAGTGACGGTGTGGAATAATTTATGCGACGTCTCGGATAATTCATGTCCGAGAAATTCCATCCCCGAAGCGGTCAAACATTTTTACATCAGTAAATGCAAATCAAATGTGTTTTCGTACAGAAATGCTACCGGCTGGGCCATTGCGCGTATTTGAAACGACGAAATGGTGTTTCGTCCGGAACTTATTCTATTATTAGTGGGATATCGGCGTGGCTTTTCCCAACCGCCGTGTCGGGCAAACATAGCGTGGTTTGTAAAATAAAAAACATCACCTGGTCTTCGCGAAGCCTTAAAAAATTGGATGTAATTCAAAATTATTAATTGTACCAACGCCCAAACCCCGCTTCGCCGGCCTTGGGCACTGGAATGCTGTCTTTGCATGATATATTTGACTTTCCCGTAGCTTAGGCATTTCCGCCCTCCCCTCCCCCGACCACACTCGCGCCTGCAACTTGCAAGAATGAGGAAATTTCTATTTTTTACTTAATGCAAATTAGCCCTCCTGGACCCCCAAAAATGTATAAAACCGGCTTTGACTCTGTAAACTTGTATCAGGTTGGAACGAAAGTTCTGTCGCCGAGATTTTGGAAGGCTGGCTAAATTCGTAGATAGCTCCATTCGGCACATGCGATATGTCATTTTGTAGCTCTCCGTCTGAATGGTTCCCGGAGGAGGGTCCTGAGACCTCAAAATCAAAAACGGCCGAGATACAGGCCCAAGAAGATTTTTCAAAAATTACGAGAAAGTGTTTTTGCAACTTATCTCTGCATGGAGCAATTTACATGCGATACCTTTAACGCCAATAGATAGATCTCGAGGAGTAGATATCAATTGATGTTGAGATCATCAAAATTGGACGCTGGATGGCCGAGATATGGGCCCTTGAAATTTGACCCATTTCTTAGAACTTTTCTCGATTTCCCATACATTTCCAAAAATTTGACGGACAGGTGCCAAAAATTACCGCTTTATTTTTGGACAAGCGGAGCGGATGTTGAAAAAATGTATGGGAAACCGAGAAAAGTTCTAAGAAATGGGTCAAATTTCAAGGGCCCATATCTCGGCCATCCAGCGTCCAATGGGGATGATCTCAACATCTACCGATATCTACTCCTCGAGAGCTATCGATTGCTGTTAAAGGTATCGCATGCAAATTTCTCCATGCAGAGATAACTTGCAAAAACACTTTCTCGTAATTTTTGAAAAATCTTCTTCGGCCTGTATCTCGGCCGTTCTTGATTTTGAGGGCCCAGGACCCACCTCCCGGAACCATTCAGACCGAGAGCTAAAAAATGACATATCGCATGCGACCAGGCCCGCAGCGGAACCGAAATTTCGGGGGCCCAAAATTTTGGCGACCTTCCCCCCGGTCGCCACTTTTAAAACATCCGAAAATCGCATCAATAATAGCGCCGCAGGCAAAAAAAATAGCAGGAAAGCGTTCGCTACACTCAAATTCGTGTGAAAACAAGGCAGAAAACGCGCCGCAGGCGAAAATTTTTATGACAATTGATTCACCAATGAAAAACCAGCGCCGCAGGCAAAAAATTTTGAAAAAATCGGCTTCATATAGGTAAAAACTGTTTGAAAAACAGTAATAACCAGCGCCGCAGGCAGAAAAATTTTTGTAACTAAAAATCATAAGGGTCCCCCCTTATGAATTTTTCAGACCTCGACCGATTTCGGGGGGCAAGGCCCCTGGGCCCTCCTACGGGCCTGCATGTGACGAATGGAGCTATCTACGAATTTAGCCAGCCTTCCAAAATTTCGGCGACAGAACTTTCGTTCCAACCTGATATTTTATCAGAATTTTGAAAACGCCATCGGAAAGAGAAGGGTCGATTCCCCCGAAGTGACGAAGAATTGGGGCATTTTGAAATCGGGCCTCGAAAGTGACATCCACACACACACCCACACACAGCGATACTCGACCAAATTATATAAGGTAGGATGATACTTTTTATAATTTGAGGTTTGTTTTCATAATTTCTAGCCTTTTAAAATATGGGGTGGACGTCGAGGTACGTCCTGACCGAGGTGGGTAAGCTGAGTTTACCCACTGGCACTGGAATGGCAACTGTTTTATGATATAATAAAAATAACAATATAATGCATCAGCCGCGGCTTCACTGAATTGGTTTAGTTATGGAGGTTACACACCCGACTGACGTCGTCTTTAAGTAAAGTCGGTCCTGGCGTGTATTCGAGCTCTCACTATGTATTTCAACAAGCACAATGTTCCGATTAATTCATTTATTGGACGCAGTCAGTCGATTAACATCCCGATTGTTGCCTATAACATCGGTAGTTACGAATGACGGTAAAAGCAGGGAACACGTGGAATGTGCCATTAAAGGGCACGTTCAGAGACGCTTTTTTGAAAAAAAAGCAAAGATCAGTGCCGCGGCCGGGGGTCGAACCCGGGCTCAGGAGGCGCGTATGCATACCAGTCAGCCACAGCTACAACCTGGCGAGGGAGTGAGGGGCGCCCCACGCCGCAAAGGAGGGAAATTGCCTCCGAAGGCGGGCAGGCAGTGCGCACGGTCCATAGGGTGTACACGTTGGGATCCGTATACGGCCCGCTCCTTGAACGTGCGCTGTAAACTCACGTTTTTAGATCACTGCCATAGATGTTTTTGTTCTTCATCTTCCGCACTTCGCTATAGTGGAATTTCTCCATTTCGCCGTGCTCCGCACCCAGCATTCCAAACATCAGCAGCCTGAAAAAATGGGTTACGGGTTTTTGCCGGACCGGGTGTCAGGCAAAGCTCAATCCACCCTAAGCCTAAGCCTAAGCCTAAGCCTAAGCTCAATCCGTAGCAACGACAAGCAACAACCGCACTATTATGCAGGGTGTGACACCCAAAATATTGCAATACAAAAAGCCATCGTTAAAAACGGGTTTTTTGGAGAATTTGGTACTTGTTTTTGACTATGTCCTCGCAAAGCTTGCCGATTTTCATTAATCTGCCGAAAAATGGTCATTTTCGGGTCGATTTCTGCCAATTTTGATAAGAAAAAGTGGAAAAGGCTAATTCAGGCTTGAACTTCGTAAATCAAGGAATTGGGCGCGATCGAAAAAAGTGGCCTCTTCATTCAAAATAAAATCCCAGTGAAATTGGCAAAATAAACCTTGATTTCGCTATGACTTTTTTGTTTTACAGTATTTTACTTAGAAAATTCGATTTTGATTTTTATGCGTTCCCATCGCTGGTAAAAATTTTGTCCCAATCGGAAATTATTTTTAGGACGCGCTGTGGATCGCTAATTTTGGCCGTTCGGCTCTGAAAGCGCGTGCATTTGACATTCCAGATGGTCAACACTTAACTGATGTTCTCGGCTGTTTCTGGGCCAAATTCCATAATTGAAAGATGCAATTATTTAAAAGCAGCTAAGAGTCTCAGTAACCCTCAGACTGCACATTATACCGGGTGTCCCAAATAAAAACGAACCATGTGGCATTTCGCCATGTTAGATCCAATCAGTACCAAATTTGGATCAGAGGTGTATCGGACCCTAAATACAACAATCCTGACTTATAGCCCGGTAGCTATAGTAGTTCTCGAGTTACCGCAAAACAAACTTTATTTTCCATTTTTCATAGAGTTTTCGTGGAATTAGACCCCCTAAACGTTAAGTGAAAATGTTCCGTAGGCCTTCTTTACTTTAAGAAATTTTTTCCAGAGTAAAATTAATAAAATAAGCTTAGATGATTTTTACAACGCAAAATTACCCAAGTTCTCAAGGGAAATTAGGGATTCGCAGCCGGAAGTCGATGCAAATCGATGCAAAGTCCAAAAAGAGCCGAAAAAACTGTTCAGAATTCCGGGAAAAATAGTAATTTCGTTATAACTCTAGAACTATTGTAGCTACGGAGCTAAAAGTCAGTATTGTGGTTATTTAGGGTCTGATATATCGTGGGTCCAACTTTCGGGCCGATTGGATGTAATATGGCGAAATGCCAGATGGTTCGTTTTTTTGGGACACCCTGTAGTGCTTACACCCTGTAGTGCTTTCACAAATGAATCGGAGAAACGGTTTCGCGCGAAATCGAGAGAGAGATAGCTCTTGTCCGGCAGCGGCTGCTGGCAATTTGCCAAGCATCAAAGAACCCGCCAAAAAGAGGCTTTGGGGATGGCACTTCGGTGCCCCTTTAACAGTTCAGTCTAGTGAAGGACCTACTCATAACCCAGCGATCCTCCTAGGTTCGTTTCGTCCGGAAGGTGAAAGGTGATGCAATAGTTTTTCGTTGCTGACGCTGGGCACCTAGGCTCGATCGTCGCCATCATGCGCACTGCCCCTTTTTGTACAGTAAAGTTGTGCACGCAGCCCCCGGCACTCGGACAATCAAACTGCGGCGCAAATACGCTTCCGTCGGCTTTCTCCTTGCAATCAACCTTCACGGATTCCTAAGAATGGATTTTACTCCTAATTCCGAGAGAGGTTTAATTCCAAATCACCAAAATTTGCCGATTGAAGCCTTTAATGCTAATTTTCTGGCCATACCTACCGGTAGGCTCCCATCGGGACAGATCCAGCCATCGCCGCGTAGCTGCAAAAATAGAGAATTGGGTCATAGCGAGAAAAGTATGTCTGTTTTTCGAACGACGTTTTTCTCGGACATCCCAGCTGGAGGTCCCCAAACATTTTTCGCTATAACTTTTTTATATTACATTATTTTAATCAAATGAATAATTAAAACTCTGATCATGTTTTTTTCTGTTTTATCGAATGGCGTAGCCAAAGTCGCGACAAAATAGCGCACCTGTCGAAGAATTTTGGGGAACCTCGGGCTGGGGGCAGTCAACTAAAGTCTGGCCCTTCTTTTAAAAAAACCCTTAAAATTTATCGTGAGCTGACGTTTTGGAAATAGTTGTGATGGATCGCATCCTCCTCACCCGCATAATTCTTTCCTCGGCACCAACGACAAATATAAGCCCTAGCAGAACCAAAGCCACACAATGCATTCCCGGCCTCTGATCGTGTCGATTGTACAAGAGTGGTAGTGGAACGAAGCGCGTTTCAGGACTGCCCAATGCAATGCGGCGCGGCATCAGGGCTTGTCTGGAATCACCTTGAGCTTAATAAGTCATCGATTTTCCCGGGACTATTGGCTCGGTCGACAGCATCAAGGCGCGCGTTGGGTCACCAAGTTTTCACAACGTTGGTCCGAAGCCTCAATGAGCAACGTCATGACGTAAAGACATTACGTAACGTAACGTTGTCTATACACTTTAGGGTCTTCTTTTCCCAGTTTTTTGAAATTTGCTAAAAAATTTAGTAAGTTGAAGCCGGGGGTTGCTCAATTTTTTGCGTGCGCAATTTTGCTGCCAAACTTTGTATTTGCAAGACCGAATCCCTAGTTTTTACAAGTTACCATACTTTTCTTGTTTTCGGGAAAAGTCCAGTTGCTGAATGACAACGACGTCTGCAAAGCGCGCCGGGCTGGCGTAGCATACATAATGCCAATGTAAAAATCCGTTCTCGCGATCACCAATGGTGATTTATTTGGGAGAAATGCTACGCTCAGAGGCGATCAAAAAAATTTTAGAATGGGTAAATGCAAATAGGTGTTGGAATATAACGTCGACCGGCCCGACCAAACCAGCTTGGCGAAGGACAAGATGGCTTTCCATCTCCGACTCTTCTATATATGGGTCTCGATCTCTGTCATGTTTTATGATGATGTTGAAGCGTCGAGTGAGTTTGATACCGAAAATGGTGGTTCACTTTAAAACTTCATAACTTTAATGACTAAATTCAAAATGAGGACAGGGTGTTGTCAACCAGAACGTTCCACGGCCTTACACAATGGAGATAGATGGAGATAAATAGAGTAACTTTTTCAGAGCAAGTCGGCGTATCGGATACCGCGGCTGCCCTAGGACAAGCAGGTAATGTTTGAGTTAGTATCCTTTTTCATATCCAAAATCATTCTCGAATTTACTACGAAGCATCACATTTAGTGGCCGATCTTCTGGCTCAAGGCAATCTCACCAACGAGGAGGTAGGCGAGACCAAGGACCCCTTCCAAAAGGATATTTTTTTAGTTTAACGAGATAGCAGCGGAGAAAGAATTCTTCAATAACGCCGTCAGGAATTGGTGCTTACTGAATGGAGAATCTGGTGCTATCGAGTATCCGAAGTATCCCGAACTGCGTAGCGAACTCCAAAATCTATTCGACTCCCCAAAATTGGGAAAAGGGTAGGTTCATTAAGCAATCATCATTCACCATATAAAAATCCGTAAAAGGCTCGTTTATGAACCCTTCAAGGTCTGGCAGCTGGGTAAGAAGGCCTTCTCGGGCCAGCCTAGAATTTCGAATGGGGTAGTGGGCCAACTTGTTCAGAAAATTTACTGATCGCTAATCTTTTCCGATAATTTCAGGATAGTTTTAGATAAAAAGTATTCGAGTTGTTCATTTATTTTTAGCCGCGAAAAGTCGGTCCTAGCCAGGATGCGGTCCGTTTTTTGGTTTGGCTCACTTATCTCTGATTTTGCCTATTTGACAGAGAATTCCTTCCGGTTCAATTTTGCCATCGGCATTTTCCTTCAGAATTCCTTCAGAGAATTCGTTTTTTTATCATTTGCCATAGGAAAAGACGGCTACGGCCTACTTCATCCCCCCTCGCCCACCTTCTGCTACTTCCCAGCAGTGACCCTTCCGTTTTTTGACCAGTAGGTTCAATCCTAGCGGGCACGAATTTTGACTTCCGAGCCCCTTTAAGTTTCTCAACAGGAGAGATGCCTTTGGATGTAAGGGTGAAAATTGAGCTGAAAATTGTGTGTTCGACCTTACTCTACTCCGCTAATTTTCCGGGCTCACCAGGATACCTCCCAGCTCGAAGTTCAGCTTCGATTAGCCTATCATATGCAGTTTTTCACGCTGATAACGATACCGCTATTTATTTTTGCCCAAATCCACAGGAACACTGTTAAAAGGCCGTCCGCCGGTCAGTCGAACAGCCCACATGATGCCTTGGCACAGTTTTTTCGACCCCGTTTTTTTGATGCCATGTGAAAGAGCATAGTCGAATTAGTAGGGTGGCGCTATTTTGAGATTTTTAAAAATTCATTTTCTAGGTTTAAATGGGTGTTAAAGTTGAAAACCTTCAAAAATTATCTCGCGATCTACTGAATCAAATTGCTCGAAAATTTCAGACAATACCTAATTTGGTGCGCTGATCATTTTTGTAAGAAATTGTAAAGCACGAAATAAGCCGGAACATAGGAATACCGCGTACACAGAAAGGTTTTTCGCAATTTTCTATTTAATGGGTGTGCGTCGCCACTCCAAAATACCCTTAGAAGATGCGCAATTAAATTCTACGTCGAACCACGTATTTTCCAGCGTGGCGACTGATACCCATTAAATCGAAAAAATAACATTCCTAAAAACAACTAAAATGACTCCACAAACATAAAAATACTGTATTTTGGCAATCGGCGGATTTCATTCGACTCTAAAGGAGAAGGCAAGTGCATTGCAAAAAAGAGCAAAAAGAAATATCATTTCTACGCAAAATTGGGCTCGGTGGGGAATCGAACCCGCGATGGTCCACCTGGGGGCACTGGGGACAGCCACTAGTGGGCGCCGCCAAGGTCCCAGGCGAAAGACCCGAGTTCAATCCCGGCCCCCTGTTAGAAATCGAATTTCTTTTTGCTCTTTTTGCAAACGTTCTGTTTTGGTCTCTAGATACGTAAAACTGTCTTTCTTTTCCAGAATACGCAATTTTTTTTCTTCGGCTTCTTTAAAAGTGATTTTTCGATTTAATGGGTATCTGTCGCCACATTGGAAAATACATGGTTCGACGTAGAATTTAATTGCGCATCTTTTAAGGGTATTTCTAGAGTGGCGACGCACACCCATTAAATAGAAAATTGCGAAAAACCTTTCTGTGTACGCGGTATTCCTATGTTCCGGCTTTATTCGTGCTTTACAATGTATTACAAAAATGATCAGCGTCCCAAATTAGGCATTGTCTCAAATTTTCGAAAAATTTGGTTCAGTAGTTCTCGAGATAATTTTTCAAGGTTTCCAACTTTAACACCCATTTAATCCTAGAAAATGAACTTTTAAAAATCTCTAAATAGCGCCACCCTACTAATTCGACTATGCTCTTTCACATGGCATCAAAAAAACGGGGTCGAAAAAAAACTGTGACAAGGCTTGTTCGGGTCTCTGGCAAACGGCCTTTTAAATATCACGTTAAGGTTTTGCGATGTAACCGCCCTGCCTCAAAGCCCTGCCCCAGGGCATGGGATCCGTCGGTGGCGTGGTGTAGTCGGCAAGTAGTTAGTATATCAATCTAGTGGTCAGGGGTTCGAGTCTTGCTGCTGGCGACTTTTTTACTTTTTGGGTAAAAAGCGCTGGGAAGGCCATATAAACGCCCAGTAACAATTTTTCTAGTGTTTTTGGCCCTTTGGTCATTTATTTGGCAACAGAAAGCATTTTGGCAACAACGCAGCACCATCCTGAAAATGATTATGAGTAATCCATTAAAAACTCTCCTTCTCACCCCGGTGCAGAAAAACGCTAGACATCAAAATAGAAAGTAAACAAAGCCTATTATTTCCTTTTCGGAAACTCAAAGCAGTTTTGAGCAAGCGCTAGAAGCTGCTCATTGACCCTTTGATAATTCAAACTTTCTTTGACCAAAAAATGAAACCGAGCATAAAATCGCAATCAAACCGACCAAACGATGCAAAACGGATGAAAAATTTTTTTACTGGGCGTTCATCTGGCCTTCACAGCAGTTTTTATCCAAAAAACAAAAAAGTCGTCAGCGGAAAGACTCGAACCCCTGACCACTAGTTTGGTATACCAAGTACTTGCCGATTATCGTGATCAGCGCGAAAAACTGGATCTGATAGGCTGTATAGCTAACCGAAGTCGAACTTCGTGCTGGGGGTATCCTTGTCACTGACAAGTTGTAAGTTGGCGGCGCTTCGCCCACGTCTTCTACAGCGCCTCGGATGATAGACATGGCAAGGGTTTGGTATGGGGCTACAACTGTTTCGAGGTTAAGTTGGTGAAAGTTACGTATCGTTGTTTTTTTTAGCCGATACTCTGTCATCACGAGCACTACAAAAGTGGCATGACAGTTTTCTTCGCCTGGCTACAACGAGACCGTCATCCACCGGTCGACGAAACAGCGATCCAAGAAGTTGCCAAAGAATCCGCAGCCAAGGTGCTACGTGCATTTGTCGACACGGTCGGAATGTAAGACTCTAAGTTCATTATCGATAGACGGTTTGCGTAAGTGGCTAGGGGTAGCATATCCTACTATATATAAAAAAATAGTGTGTTTGTGTCTGTGTAGATTTGCATCCACTTCCGCAAGTATGTTCCGCTCATAACGGGTCGGGGAATAAACTTTCCGGCGCGTTTGAAACGCCATTAGGTGCGTAATAGGCTGAGGATGACTGCCGACTTACTAAATTTTTTTTAAAATGTACCATTTTCGACATTAAATTTAGGTTTTTGTGAATGTAGCTTTGTCAGACGAAATTTGCATGCGCCGGAAATGAATGGCGCCTATAAAATCAAGCCACTGAGCGGCTTTCTCATTTTTTGTCAGCGGGATTGGGCAGAATATGCAAAGTCTTTTTGTCATTGGTCGTGGACGGGGCCAGGGTTGAACAGCCGCGAAGCGGAATTTCAACCCTAGTCCTATACCTTATGTAATTTGGTCGCGTATCTCTGTGTGTGGGTGTGGATGTCACTTTCGAGGCCCGATTTGAGGGCCTTCCCGTGCATAAAATGCTCTAATTCTCCGTCGCTTGGGGAAATCGACCTTCCTCTTTCCGAAGGCGTTGCCAGAATTTCGATAAAAGACGAGTTTACAAGGTTAAAGTTGGTTTTATTCATTTTTTTGGGTTTTGGGGGCTAATTTGCATAACGAAAAAAATACAAATTTCCTCATTCTTGCGAGTTGCATGCACGCGTGCGGTCGGGGGCGGGGCGGGGGTCCGCAGGACCGGAGCTATCGTAAAGTGAAATTTCTCATGCAAAGACCGTATTCCAGCGCCCAAGGTCCGCATAGCGGGTTTTGGGCGCTGGTGGAAAATAGGTTGCTATCAAGGACGTGGTCCGATGTAAGGTATCAAATAGGGTATGACGGCGAACCTAATAAGCAGTGCTTTTTCGAGTCATCCGAGAAACGACTCGAGAGACAGCTCATCCTACCTTATATAATTTTGGAGTGTATCTGTGTGTGTGTGTGTGTGGATGTCACTTTCGAGGCCGATTTGAGGGCCTTCCCGTGTCCAAAATGCCTTAATTCTCCGTCACCCGGGGGAATCGACCCTCCTCTTTCCGATGGCGCTTTCAGAATCCCGATAAAATACAAGTTTACAAAGTTAAAGCCGGTTTTATTGATTTTTGGCGGTAATTTGCATAATGTGGAAAAATACAAATTTGCTCATTCTTGCCAGTTGCACTCGCGAGTTTGGTCGTCTCTTTGGATCTGCCTCTCGATGCCTTTCCTTCCCCTGCCCCGGGACAGTCCTCTTGAGACATAAAACGGGTGTTTGGCGCATGCTGCCATGGGTTGCATGGTGTAGTGGTTAGCGCTTCGCCGTGCTAATCTAACCATCGGAGGTTCGATCCTCGGATATCGTAGTTGCTTTGCTTTTTGCTCGGAAAGTGCGTTTCGGAGTGGATTTCCGGGTAGGGACTTTATTATGAAATTAGTCACTCAAGCCGCAGCCTATAGAACGAAGCTAGCCGCGCAAGCTAGCGCCGCAGGCTTTAGAACGAAGCTAGCGGCTCAATCTGGCGCCGCAGGCTTTAGAACGAAGCTAGCCGCTTAAGCTAGCGCCGCAGGCTTAGAACGAAGCCAGCCGCTTAAGCTAGCGCCGCAGGCTTTAGAACGAAGCTAGCCGCAAGCTTAGCGCCGCAGGCTTAGAACGAAGCCCGCCGCTCAAGCTAGCGCCGCAGGCTTTAGAACGAAGCTAGCCGCTCAAGCTAGCGCCGCAGGCTTTAGAACGAAGCTAGCCGCTCAAGCTAGCGCCGCAGGCTTTAGAACGAAGCCAGCCGCTTAAGCTAGCGCCGCAGGCTTTAGAACGAAGCTAGCCGCACAAGCTAGCGCCGCAGGCTTTAGAGCGAAGCCCGCCGCTCAAGCTAGCGCCGCAGGCTTTAGAACGAAGCCCGCCGCTCAAGCTAGCGCCGCAGGCTTTAGAACGAAGCTAGCGGCTCAATCTGGCGCCGCAGGCTTTAGAACGAAGCTAGCCGCTTAAGCTAGCGCCGCAGGCTTTAGAACGAAGCCAGCCGCTTAAGCTAGCGCCGCAGGCTTTAGAACGAAGCTAGCCGCACGCTAGCGCCGCAGGCTTTAGAACGAAGCTAGCCGCTCAGCTAGCGCCGCAGGCTTTAGAACGAAGCCCGCCGCTCAAGCTAGCGCCGCAGGCTTTAGAACGAAGCTAGCCGCTCAAGCTAGCGCCGCAGGCTTTAGAACGAAGCTAGCCGCTCAAGCTGGCGCCGCAGGCTTTAGAACGAAGCCAGCCGCTTAAGCTAGCGCCGCAGGCTTTAGAACGAAGCTAGCCGCACAAGCTAGCGCCGCAGGCTTTAGAACGGAAGCCCGCCGCTCAAGCTAGCGCCGCAGGCTTTAGAACGAAGCTAGCCGCTCAAGCTAGCGCCGCAGGCTTTAGAACGAAGCTAGCCGCTCAAGCTAGCGCCGCAGGCTTTAGAACGAAGCCAGCCGCTAAGCTTAGCGCCGCAGGCTTTTAGAACGAAGCTAGCCGCACAAGCTAGCGCCGCAGGCTTTAGAGCGAAGCCCGCCGCTCAAGCTAGCGCCGCAGGCTTTAGAACGAAGCCCGCCGCTCAAGCTAGCGCCGCAGGCTTTAGAACGAAGCTAGCGGCTCAATCTGGCGCCGCAGGCTTTAGAACGAAGCTAGCCGCTTAAGCTAGCGCCGCAGGCTTTAGAACGAAGCCAGCCGCTTAAGCTAGCGCCGCAGGCTTTAGAACGAAGCTAGCCGCACAAGCTAGCGCCGCAGGCTTTAGAACGAAGCTAGCCGCTCAAGCTAGCGCCGCAGGCTTTAGAACGAAGCTAGCCGCTCAAGCTAGCGCCGCAGGCTTTAGAACGAAGCCCGCCGCTCAAGCTAGCGCCGCAGGCTTTAGAACGAAGCTAGCGGCTCAATCTGGCGCCGCAGGCTTTAGAACGAAGCTAGCCGCTTAAGCTAGCGCCGCAGGCTTTAGAACGAAGCCAGCCGCTTAAGCTAGCGCCGCAGGCTTTAGAACGAAGCCAGCCGCTCAAGCTAGCGCCGCAGGCTTTAGAACGAAGCTAGCCGCTCAGCTAGCGCCGCAGGCTTTAGAACGAAGCTAGCCGCTCAAGCTAGCGCCGCAGGCTTTAGAACGAAGCCCGCCGCTCAGCTTAGCGCCGCAGGCTTTAGAACGAAGCTAGCGGCTCAATCTGGCGCCGCAGGCTTTAGAATGAAGCTAGCCGCTTAAGCTTAGCGCCGCAGGCTTTAGAACGAAGCCAGCCGCTTAGCCTAGCGCCGCAGGCTTTAGAACGAAGCTAGCCGCACAAGCTAGCGCCGCAGGCTTTAGAACGAAGCCCGCCGCTCAAGCTAGCGCCGCAGGCTTTAGAACGAAGCTAGCCGCTCAAGCTAGCGCCGCAGGCTTTAGAACGAAGCCAGCCGCTCAAGCTAGCGCCGCAGGCTTTAGAACGAAGCTAGCCGCTCAAGCTAGCGCCGCAGGCTTTAGAACGAAGCTAGCCGCTCAAGCTTAGCGCCGCAGGCTTTAGAACGAAGCTAGCCGCTCAAGCTTAGCGCCGCAGGCTTTAGAACGAAGCTAGCCGCTCAAGCTAGCGCCGCAGGCTTTAGAACGAAGCCAGCCGCTCAAGCTAGCGCCGCAGGCTTTAGAACGAAGCTAGCCGCTCAAGCTAGCGCCGCAGGCTTTAGAACGAAGCTAGCCGCTCAAGCTAGCGCCGCAGGCTTTAGAACGAAGCCCGCCGCTTAAGCTAGCGCCGCAGGCTTTAGAACGAAGCCAGCCGCTCAAGCTAGCGCCGCAGGCTTTAGAACGAAGCTAGCCGCTTAAGCTAGCGCCGCAGGCTTTAGAACGAAGCCCGCCGCTCAAGCTAGCGCCGCAGGCTTTAGAACGAAGCCAGCCGCTTAAGCTAGCGGCAGGCTTTAGAACGAAGCTAGCCGCTCAAGCTAGCGCCGCAGGCTTTAGAACGAAGCTAGCCGCTCAAGCTAGCGCCGCAGGCTTTAGAACGAAGCCCGCCGCTCAAGCTAGCGCCGCAGGCCTAATAACGAGACTAGCAGTTCAAGGTTGCGCAGCATGCCAATACAGAGAGGTTTTCATGGGAGATGCGTTTTTCTTTCTTCAGGGTAACTTTATGGGGAAGGGCGCTCGATTCATAGGGCCTAGACGGGGTCCAGCGGGGGAGAGTCGCGAAGCGGCTCCTCCCCCGCTGGTTCGATAAATAATTTAACTGTAACCAGGGTTGAAAAGCCGCGATTGCATTTTCAATTTCAATCAAATTTCAAATGTGGGTCCTTATGAAGAGGTTCAGGGTATACCCCCGGAATTGGAACTACGAGGCAATGGAAGTCGCCGACGCAACGATGCCAATTGTTCTTGGGGTGAGCAAAGATATTCAATTACTCGCAATGATGCCCCTCCAGGATATTTGTTCGGCTGCCTTTCTCCAGCTCTTTAAAAGCCTTCGCAAGCCCATTGGCAATTATTAGCCCACCCTATACGTGTTAGCGTGCACACCGGGCGTATTCCCGGGAACTTGTAAAGTTCGAGCGTTCGAGCGTTCGTGGGTTCGAACGTCGAGCGTTCGAGCGCTTTGTAATTGTCGAGCGTTTTGTAAAAGTCAAGAGTTTTTGATAAATAACAGATTAAGTACTTTTAAGAGGGAAATTGATGTGATTTTGTACGTAGTTTTGTAGGGTAAGGTACTAGGACACGCTTTACGGCATAAGATCCCCAAAATTAATATTGTTTGCTATTACAAGTTTATTCCTTCCGTCTATATTGCTCACTATACTATAAAGTGCATTATTTAAAGAAAAATGGTAAAGACAAATCATCGAATAGGATTCGATAGGGATGGGCTCTGCAATGACCTAATAATAGAAGTCTCTTATTTTTTTAATCAAAGGCACGAGCGGCCTGCAATATAATAAGCACATAACCTTTTAAAGGGTCAAATTACTATCAAGAAAAAGAGAATTAAGGCTTCACACGTTGTCCTCCTCATACTGAAACTATAACTGAATAGAATACCGAACATGTTTTCGGATTGGATAGAAGTTTTAATTATTATTTGTATGTAAGATTGTTTGCCCCATTTAACTGCTACAATCGACGGTATAACACACGGCCACATCACTGCATAATGTGTTCGATTATTTAGCTTCGCTCACAAATTTCAGCTTAGATTACATATATTATTACGTCCTAAAAGTAATTAATATGTTATTTATCAAAAACGCTCGGCTTTTACCAGCCGCTCGACATTTACAAAGCGCTCGAACGCACGATCTTTACAAAACGCTCGAATGCTCGAACGCTCGAAATTTGCAAGTTGCCCTTATTCCCCCCTACCTGTGGAATGATTGCAATGTCCCAAAAATTTCCCCCTTTAGCGGTCCGCAGCAAGTTCGGATCGGTATAGTTTTTACACCATTTTTACACCAAGCTCTCGAAATAGTCGACAAAACAAGGCTTCTTTTCTCCAATTTTTTAGCTCCTCTCGGCATTCAAAGTCTTTCCGAAAACAAGCTTCTCTAACATGTAGAGGTTGTGGGGTCACAGACTCCAAATCGGCTCAAAATTGGTGGAAAAATCAAATAAAATACGGGGAACACGATGCGATAAAAATTATCTGCCAATGGGCACTTTTGTTTAATAAACTTTTGATTTTAAGAGGAAAAAGTGCTCAGAAAATGCACTTTTAGCTGCTTTATCGGCCTTCCGACTGGGAAAAAAATGTTTTGATGGAATTTTCATAGCAGCCACGACACTAGACACCTTTCCACACCCGAAAAAAAATTGATCTGAAAAAAAATTTTTCATGAAAATTTGACGACCTATCCTATAGCCCCGGATCCTGGGAGTGTCTGAAGCTGCTTAAAATAGGTGGTTCTGGCTCCTAGGCGCTTCAAATCGGAGCACCGAGAGATTTCAGGTTGCCGGAATAATTCTATTTTTACAATATGGGTTCAAAAAATAATATTTATTAACTATTCCGTTAGTTTTCATCGAGCGGGGATAGGTAGGTAGACCTTTTTGAAAAAACTTCCAAAATTTTCGAAATTTTATTTTTCTGCCCAGCCAAACCCTAGGGATTATAAGGACCGAAAAACTTTCGCAAACCCTTTCTAGACCCTCTCACTGCAAAATAAAAGCGAAAACAGCAAAAAGCAAAAATTAAAAATAACGACAGGATCCGAACCCTCGACCCCTGCCTGTCACCCTTGCACCCTACCCCAATACTACCGATCCGATGAAGGGGCGCTTGGGAAGTCTCAAGAGTCCTCCCCGGCGCCGAACCGTTTTGGCGATCCAGGTCGCGATTCTGGGTCGTTTTCCATACAAAATCTTAAAATCAAAAGTTTATTAAACAAAAGTGCCCATTGGCCGATAATTTTTATCGCATCGTGTTCCCCGTATTTTATTTGATTTTTCCACCAATTTTGAGCCGATTTGGAGTCTGTGACCCCACAACCTCTACATGTAAGACATTATCAGCGCTATCCACAGTTAGCACGAAGATCCGGCATAAATTGCTCATTTTGGGCGTAACATTCGGTAATGGGATGAGTAATTTGTTTTCTCGCGTTTTCGAAAGTTTCCAATAAGTACTTCAATCGTAAAAAACGGACGCTTCTCCGATTCGAAACACCCTTTAGTTATTTCTATCACGGCGTTTCAGAAAGCATGGAGCAAGGACGGAGTTGCTCGTATGGGGGACACGGCAACGCAAGCGGGCGGTTATGCCAAGTTGCAGAAAAGTGTGCATAGCTTCGGTGCTGCAGAAGTCGACTACGACACTCACTTTGTCCTCTGCTTTTAGAATGGAAATTGTAAAATTGCAAATTGCTTATGGAAAAAAATACTGCAACTGACAGGCGAATCGAGAACGGGGGAATTGACCGACAGGTTTATTTTTCCGAATAGCCGTGATGGTCCTGTGGTCAAGAATCGTGGACCATCCAACAGAAACCTTAAGTTAGCCGATTTACGGGTTACGATTCCGATTACACCTACACGGCATGTGCATTCGACACAACGGTAGTAATACGCTTGCAATCTCTTACTTGATCTGCTTAATTATCAGCTTAATGGATGATTGGCAATTCCTCATTCCAGCATGTACTTAACAAAATTATTTATTCGAGTTCGGCACGCAAGTGACCAGCGATGTCCTGGAGTTCTAGCACTTGTATTCCCATCGACAGCACGATTCGCACATCTTAGTTCCGGTGAGAAGTTTGCCTTCTGCGCAAGTGAATGATAAATCGTACATTCACAAAACGCTACGCGGCTTTCAAAACCCTGGTCTCATCTGAGAGACTCAGCAAAGGCCTAACTGCTACTGGATCTTCCCGGATGCTGAGGAAAATACGAAATACACCCGTCTGCCTACTTATATCTACAAGGTTTATGAGGTTTTAGTCGCGAGCCGCATCGCCGTTTAGTCCTGAAAGCGGGCGGCCGATATCCTGTCTCCAAAATATGAACGCACCCCACATTATAAGGCTAGAATACTCCGGGAGTGAGAGAAACGCTTGTGCTTAGGTAAAAAATTGAAGTAAGTAAACTTAAAAAAATTCAAAAGAATTAACTCAATTAAAAAGACTATCGTAGGTAAAAAGTTGACGCTTAGAAAAATCGTCAGGATCCTTATCTTTTTGGGACCTCCACGGAAGTGTGGTGAAGAACGAGCTACGTGCTCCCGGTGCTCGCCCCGTTTCAGCTTTATAACAAGCTGCAAGCTGAGAGGGCCGCAGTGCTCTCCAACCTGTGCGTCCCGAGGCCCCCGTGCACGCCATTCTTTTAATAAAAATTACCGCTATCACGAAGCCTGTAGTCGATTCGGCAAAATGGCTCTTCTGGGAATACATGAAGTGAGGCGGTTCCCGCTGAAAAAAACCAGCTAATTGCTGGGATTAGCGGCCTTTCTTTAGTGCCTTCCCAATTCTAATGTCATCAAAACTTACATAGGTCTCTATTACCGATTCCCCAATTTCCCTCGAGCTTCCCGAAGGTCGTACAACGAGCTGTGCCGCTCTAAACGTTCATTTCTCTTTCAAATCACTTCACGGCATCCTCCCTGGAGGGGGGGGGGGGAAGGGGGGGTGGGGGATTCTGGACTGCATTCCACGGCGCCCATTTTAGATAATTATGCCTAATTTTCATTTTGATTATAAGAGACAATGCTTCGGCACCTATACGAGCTCGGTACCTATCCGAAGCAACTAGGCAACGGCAGATACCAGGCGTGTGGCGGGCCCCCCCCCCACCAGTGAATGGTCTCCGCTCGGCCGAGAATTTCGGATTGAAAGTAAGCTCATCTTGTAGAGCTCGACGGAACGAATCGATTGATGTGACTTTTAGCTACGGATACTGTAATACAACAAAGTTACAACCATTTAAAGTTTTTGCCCGACCTTCATAAGCCCCTCCACCGTGGACTGGTGGCCTAGTGGTGTGGTAGTCGGCGTCTGAGGAATCTAACGAGGATACGGATCTACTCGCGAGTTTTATTTTGATGAATAAAATGATGATGAAGGTATGGTATGGTAAGGTAATGAAGCTCTTGTCCCTAGTCCCTGGAATTTCTAGTCAGTAATTACCGAGAAGACTGGAAAACTTTTTTAAACCAACGCCCGTGTAAACGGCATTCATGATGAATTTGAGGTAGAACTCGGTCCCCCAAAATTCCGAATCAAGTGCGCGGACCACGCAGGGCGTTGTTCCGTTTTCTAGATTCTGTTATATATAGGCCATGTGTCATCCTACCGTACATATTGCCGGAACACGAGTCAAAAAGATCGTTGGGACTCTCTAGATCGTATTCTTTTAGTTGTACTTCATATTTCTCGTCCCCCTAAAAAATAAGTTCAAATGGATGATGCTGCTACAACCGCAGTTCTGAAGAGTTGACATTTTTGGCCAATGGCCAGTCCGACCAGTATGATTATGACGGCAAAAGATGTTTTGCTCCCCCGCTTTTTCACATTTTGACACGCTTTGTATACACAGGATTGGCGCCTAGAGCGTGTCTTTTTTTGAATAATCCGACTATATCCTACTATATATAAAAAATAGTGTCTGTGTGTGTGTGTGTGCATTTGCATGCAACTTCCGTGAGGATGTTCCGCACCTACAGCCTCAGGGAAGCATTTTTTCGGTAGTGAAGAAACGTCATTAGGTAAAGAAGGGTCCGGAATCGACTGCACGCACATAAAATCTTTGAAAAATTGCTATTTTCGTTATTAACAACAAATTTTTGTAAAATTCTCGCCCACCCTCTTTGTTAGGGATCAATTAGCATAAGCCGGAAGTCGGATAGCCTATATAAAGCGACAGAGGAGCCGTTTTTCACTTTTTTCCTGATAGATTTTGGGGAAGAAGCATGCAAATTGAAGACTTTCATCGGTCCTAGACGGGGCCAGGGTTGAAAAGCCGCGGAGCGGTTTTTCTACCCTGGTATAAAAAAAATAGTGTCCGTGTGTGTCACTTTGCATACAACTTCCGTCAGGTTGTTCCAGTGGTATCTGAATAAGGGGGGTAGTTAAGGGCATGTTTGATACATCATTAGGTGCGTAAGGGTCTGGGGATGACTGCACGGTAATAAAATTTAGAACAATTATATGTTTTCGCCGTTAAAATTAAGTTTTTGTTGGAAAATCGGCCAGCCTCTTTGTTAGGAAACAATTAGCATACGCCGGAAGCTGCGGTAGCCTATATGAGGGAAGAGAAGTAGCGTTTCTCATTTTTGTGATCGAAAATCGTGAGAATTATGCAATGTGAAGAATATCATGGGATCACCCTGGTTAGATTGACGATTTTCGAGCGGGGAAGTTCCATCTCCGATGCACGTTCGAGGCTACGCATTGATTCGAGGCCTGATGGCTTCATACAGGCGATAGGGCCAGCAAGGCTGTGGCCCTACAGTGTTTTGGGGTGAAAAGTAAATCGTGATTTTCGCACTAAAAATCAAATTTTCGGGCTGTCGGCGTATCAAATTCGGAATCAGCATGTAATTTTACATTTAGTAAGTTGTCAATTAAATATTTTCCAGCCAGAGATTTTCAGGAAATCGGCCTAGAAGCTCCAAAAATGGGGGGGGGGGATGATTTACTTTTGTCCGTTACTGTATAGCTCCTTTCCGCGCGGAGTTGAATTCGTCCTTCAGAGAGACACACGGACACAATGACGCCTCAAGAAACGTATTATACGTAGTGGACCCCAGAACCGATTAACGTAACTGCTATATTTTATATTTGACTTCTGCGAGACTTACCGATGCTCGCTGGTGCCCCTCCTCGTAACTCGCGTTAACAATGCGCAGAAGCAGGGTCGGACATCCATTACAGGGGAACCATTTCCATTTCCATGAATGAACCCCGGCGATGTTAGTAGCAAATAACAACAATACTAGAGTGGCACCCATATCTCTTGTCAAAGGAACTGGTCTCAAGTGGAAATTTCAGTTTTTAAAGGGACTGCTACTTGGGCCTTTGACTTGCATATGGATCAGTTCGCATTGAATTTCATGAAGAAACTGGCTGGGGGGAGAGTGAACCACTTGGCCATAGCGCGCCTTCGTACATACACCCCCACAAAAACCGATTGTGCCACGTTGCAGAAACTGCCGCCGCATTGCTTTCGTACCGCCTAAACGGAATCGCCGGGGTCAGAACCCAGTGCCTTCAGCTGAAGACTGTGGCCTAACGACACAAAAGAAAGCGCCGTTGAACAGGATCGCTAACGAGGTGCGTGTGGCGATTTATGGACACCATTGCGAAGAGACATCATCGCGAAAGACACAATCCCGAACAGACAAGGTACCGCAAGTATGCCATCCGAAAAGACACCATGCCGAAAAATGCAATGATGGAAAGAAAAACTAGCTGCGTAACTATGCGTGAAATCGGCATAAATCATCCCTGATCAATTCTACCGCCTTTACGCCATCAAACCCATCCCGTGATAGAGGCCATGAAATGTTTGGAGAAACCCCTGGACTCACTTTGGCTAAACTTGATCCATGTTCGCTTTTTTATAGTGTTACATTATGCGAAAACCCGTTTGACTCATTGGCACAACTATTGGCTTTTATGGACTTGGAGGATGCAAATGAGCCGAATTTTAATTAAGCCTATGGTTGTTTTTGTTTTTTCTCACACTTTCACGCGGATCCTGCCACCTAGAATTACAGGGTGAGGCATATATATCGAAGCACCCCCGGGCCATGAAATTTCGCATGCAAGCAAAAAACTAACCAGTTTTTGGGAATTGTGTATATTTAGCACAATAAATTAAGTGGTTCCTGACGCAGGGGTCAAAGAAAAACGATCGCCGACTGCTTTGTTTTTCATTTATCATTTAGAAAAGTTTAGCCGTTTTGTCGAAAAAGTGGTGTGTTGGCACGCTACTCCTAGAGATCGGCCTAAAGGTTGCACCGTCTCAGGATTCTCGATTCTAGCTTGATTAAGACCTATCTAAACATTGCAGAAGTCGGATAGCCAAAAACAAGCGAAACAATTTTGTTATAGTCAAAAATCAAGCCCTGACCCAACTCAGGTCCCTCTATCGTACCGACTTCAAAATGTATTACAAAATCAACGCTCGAAGGAAACTCTTGTTTCAGCAATTTTTCACATTCTAGGTCTTTGGCAAAATCAGGTGCCATTGACCAAATCAGAAAACTATACACCTAAAAGTCGGAAACTACAATTTTATGATTTTTACTATGCATTTTGAGGACGGTTGTGTCATAATATGAAAGTTCCTTCTGAGGTAGCTAAATAAACTACAGCTGGGACCGTTATTTGTTGTTCCTACATCGCACCAATGTTTTTGACACGCATAGGTGCCCGAATCAGGATTTTCGAGGCCTGCCGAAATCGAACCTGCTGGGTTGCGTGCCAAGCCCACCCCCAGAAGCCTCAAGTTTTACCTGAAACAAAAATTTTCCAAGAATACTAGGTTTTGTTATTTCGGGAACTTGAAGGTAACCCTAGTGGCTACATCTTGGCAAAATACCACGGCCCACCGAGCTTTCTTAAATTTTTGAGGGCCTTCGGTAGGTGCTTCGATATATATGCCTCACCCTGTACATTGCACCAACGTTTTTGATACGCATAGGTGCTCGAATCAGGGTTTTCGAGGCCTGCCGAAATCGAGCTCCAAGGGGTTGCGTGCCAAGCCCACCCCCACAAGCCTCAAGTTTTGCATTAAAAAAAAGTTTTCAAGGATTCCAGGTTCTGTTATTTTGGGAACTTGGAAGTAGCACTACTCGCTACATCTTGGCAACATAACACGGCCCACCGAGCTTTTTTTAAATTTTTGAGGGCCTTCTGTAAGTGCTTCGATATATACAGGGTGTCTCAGGATTATCCGGACAAACTTTTAATGCCATTTCTTCCTATTTTTATCCTGTTTTATGCGCACATCGTGTAGCTCTTATCAATCTTTGAGGTAGTTTTGAGGCGCTGGCAAAGAAAAATGCCCGAGGTTCCAACATATAGCTTCGCAAAAAATCGAAGAAGTTTGAACCTAATTTCTCCCATCTGGCAAACGCTCAAAACGCATGATGTTTCCGACGCTATAAAAAGCTTCAATATAGCCGGAATACAAAGAAACCACAGGAAGAGGTCGGTAATGATAAGTCCATGCTCCGCCCGCCCGCAAATGCTAAGTTGACTCTAGGAAAAAATCAGCAAGCAAAAAAAGAGGAATTAATGGAACGCGCCGCCGTATTTATCTTAGCAGATTTGGTCCGGAGGAACCCTAAAAAACCGGATAAGACACTTTTAAGATAATAAATAGATAAATATGTACAGTAACAATGATGTACAAGCAATTTAGAAAAAATTAACTTTAATTAGTGGGGAGCTTGAGCGCGAGCAAGCTTCGAAAAACCCTTATCAGCAATGCAAAGGGAATCGATATTAAATTCGAAAATAATCATTGACATGAACAAACTTTGGCGCAAACAAGTCCGTTTTGCAAGAAAACGTCATCTCCTACCTAGAAAAATGTCGGAACGCTTTTTGAATCTTTGCTCCAAGTTTCGTGGTATTTAATAGGTGAAAAATATTACTGCGTTCTTCGCTTGATTCTGAAGCCATTAATGCGCCTTCAAAGAATTTTTTTTGCTCAGGACATTGAAAACGCCTCAAAAACTCATAGAAAAACATTGGGTTGGCAGAAAACAGCGGTAAATGCGAAAAATTGACTTTTTCGTTTTGTCCGGATAATCCTGAGACACCCTGTATGCCTTACCCTGTACTAACTTGGTTTTTAACAGACAATATAGTTTTTGAGAGAGACACATTCACTTTCGATTTGCAGATTTCTGAGCTTATAGAGTTTGAGCTCGCGATTCTCATGCGCTGAAAATTTTAAACAAACGGTCGATAGGCAGCCCGGAAATAAGAAGGTTTAATGAGACACCCGGGAGGGCCCAACTAGCACCGTAAAAGTGGTGGAAATGAGACACAGGCCCGGGGAAGCTTTGCGCAAACCGGATCACCTCCGGAAAGCTAATTATTTCGGTGTACAGTGAGCATGTATTACGCTCCTGCGATTACTAGCAGCTAGATTTTTTTGAGCAAAACTATCAGGTTGTAAAGCCAGGAAGCGGAGGAGGAAGGAGGCTCGGACGGCCCGCATAGACGAGGAAATTCTTGCCATCATCACGGGGTGACGGCAACGAAAGCTGCCGGCTACCCACGGCACGTTATCTTCGAGGACTTTTATGAAAATAATTGGAAAATCCACTTTGTGTTTTTCGTTTAAAAAACAAAGCCAAACGTCCTATTGAATAAAAAGATTTAATCAGCAAATGAGGGGAAAATCCGTCGATCATAGGGGCCAGTGATTCTCTGGCATCTGTATCGTCTCTCGCTATCTCTCTCTGTCTCTCTATATCTCTCGTTCTCTCTCTCGCTCTCTCTCTCACTCATTCACTCACTCACTTTCTCTATCTCTATCGCCTCTC